TGTCGACCTTCGATTTTCACTCCTATGTTGCCCCATTCCAATGTTCGTGTGACGTTTTCGAGGATGGTGATAACAATTTTGGCGAAATTGTTTCGTTTTCCCAACCTTTCTTTTCACAACGACATTAATATCGTTTTTGAGTGATCTAGGAACTCCTTGACTATCAAGGGCTTCATGACTGCTTCCATCTCAAGTGAATCAAAGACCTTTTGTAAATCGATGAAAGTGAGGCAGAGTGGTCTTTTGTACTCTCGCGATACTTCAATGAGTCTTGTTATCGCCTGGATGTGGTCCGTCGTACTAAATCCTTTTCGAAACCCTACTTGCTCACATGGCTGTCCTTCCTGTTTAAGATGACTCAAGTGAAAGGTTTGTGGACGAGAGGTAGTAAGCAGATTGGGCGATAGTTGCCGATATCGTGTAGGTCACCCTTGTTGAACAATAACACGGTCCTGCTGGTCTTTCACTGAGCAGGGACCTTGCATTCAGACAGGTAACGTGTGAAGAACCGAGCCAATGTGTTTACGAGCACTGGTGGAAGGTTCTTCAGGTGTTCTGGTATTATCCTGTCCGGACCTGGTGCTGTTCGATTTTTCACCGACGAAATGGCATGTCATTTCTGGACGTTGTAACCCTTCTGTATGGGCGTCGGAGTGCAATTATTTTGGTCTTGTAATTGGCGAAGCTTCGGTGTGCTTTGCGAATGCTTTTCCTAGTCTCTGCAGCTTCGTCCACTACTGCTGCTCTTCTCTCTTTAAGATCTTCTTTTATCGCCTGTCTGCATTATTTTGCAAGTTCGGACGCTAGTTCGCGGTTGTTTGCATCACGTTCGATTCCACGCTGGCATTGTTGGGACGGCTCGTTGATATAAGAATACCAAGTAGTTAGGACAATTCGGTCGGAATTAGCTGCTCGCCTTCGTGTACTCCACGCGGGACTTCTTGTGATTAGTAGTCACAATGCCGGACTTTTCAAACTTGGGTAATTAAACCGTTTGTCATAATTATACAACAATCATAACAATACATCTCTACAGATAATACAACAATGGTACGGGTTATGAGTAGGCGCAGCCTGATCACTGGTGTTCAGGTTGCTTATGAGTGAAGATATTGGTATAACAGTACAACTGTGTAATTAATGCAATAGTGATACGATGTGTGATATTTGGCGATATGTAAACTGGGTGGATAAGAGCGGGACTGAAATGGTAACAAGTGATACACTTGAAGGAATTAACGCGGACACTGGTGTTGGAGCACTGAGGAATTGAGGGACTGGAAACAGACCGTTCGAACGTGGTTAACACTTCAAGACCAGTCCTATGGGCTGCCTGTATTACATCTGTAGTGGGTGGAGTTTTGCCAGAGAGAACTAAAGACGGCGTCCAGAGAGGGGTTGCATGTGGAAGAGTGCAGGTGTCTGTTCGGAGACTTTTTTGGAACGACAGATGCTGAAAAGTACATTTAGCTGACTGCTGCTGATTCCCTTTCTAGCCACCTGCGAGGCAATTGCATGAAATGGTTGCTAAGAGATGATTTACCGAATGTGCAAGAATGGGTGTATGACGATTACAAATAGACAATTGTTGTAGAAGGCATAAGGTTATAATTGTTTTACATGGAGAACATTCCAATATTCGTGAAGAATGTTCTCTATAGGCGTATTGGCATGAGTGTTTCCGGAGACAGACGTCTCTTGGTGACTTTCGAACTCTCAGCTTTCATAGCGCTAACGTGAACTTGAATGTGAAGTTGAATGTGCCAATCGTATTCTTCGTCGATGTTATCGACAGCGGCATCTTCCCAACAGCCGACTAATGAATTGAATAAGTCCCAGTGTATGGTAGTTTTGGGACCACGTTTTTGGGTTGAGTAGCTTTTCTCCTTTTCACGAGAAATGAAATCTTGCTCGATGGAGTCCATGGTCTGATCTCGTGTAGAATTTTGGGGCAGCAGCGATATCGGTTGGGCAAAACCTTCGATCTACTATGATGTGGTCTATTTCGTTATGGTACTCTCCGTTTGAGGACTCCCACGTCCAGCGCTGAGGCTGGGCTTCTGCAATTGCTAGTTACCATGGATTGTCTTGGTCGTCATGATAAGCTCAGAGAGCCACTCCACTCTGCTCGTTCCCTTCTAATCCATGGGTCCCAATGTGACGTTCTTCAGACCATCTTCTTGGTCCATTCTTAGCGTTGAAATCTCCAATGATGACTTTGAAGAATGTATGGTTTTCTCTGTAGAACGTCTCCAAGTTCATGTAGAACCATTCGACCTCGTCATCGTCATAGGTTGATGTCGGCGCGTAAACGACGAAGATTGTCAAAGCTGGTATTTATCCACATCTTTTTCATCGTAAGCGTCCGATTCGATCGTTAGTTGTTCGAATGAATCGATGTTCATGGACAAAATCGTATTGGCGAGAACGCTGACATGTTCCAAAACTGACTGTTGTCCCAAAATTTTATAAGCAACAGGACCACGATCTCTTTTGCGACATATTTCTTTGTTCTCGGAAAGAAGAGAAAATGGCAAAATTCAAGAAACGAAGTCTCAAAACCGCTATGAAATGGAATTTATTCAGAACGGTAATGGGCTTTTGGAAAGATGCTGTTTAACGCTGTTGAGGAATACGATGGCCTATTTCCACTTCACGTTAACGCTATGAAAGCTGAGAGATCGAAAGTCACTAAGTAAACGCTTCACCTCGGAAACACGAACTGCAAATAAAAGCTAGCTCATGTGCCTTCTTGCAAAACTCTACAGTGAGGAAATGAGATAGAATTATAACGAGGAAGAATCAGCGATAATATCAGAAACTGCAAAGGTGGGGAAGAGCATGTAGTACGCCCACTGAAACCTCGGTATTTACGTGGCCATGCTAAGTCGTGAGGAATCGTAGGACAACTGGTCAACGAAAAACAAATAGGACCCTGTTGTCCCACGAAAAAGAATTGACGGCTGCATCTGTAATTATTATATGTATAGATTATAATTATTATATATAGATCTATTATAGATATATATAGATTATAATTATATATATATATATATATATATATATATATAGATAGATAGATAGATAGATTGTGATTATAACTAAGCCTCAGCTTAACTGGGTTCAATGCCGATTTGGGCTCCCCAGATCAATCCTGTTGACGGGTGATTGCTTATGGCGAAACGATCGATAGAACTAGCTGCGAGACAGGCAAGTCGAAGGACCCGGATGGTGTGGTGGTGAAGTGCGCTGCTCCCCGGTTAGGACAAGCGCGCGTGTTCGTTACCCACTGCATAAACCTGCGGTCCGGAGTTTTGCAAATATCTCAGCATTTCATACGAGTTATATTTCGCAGCATACCCTGCCATTAAGAAGAGAAAAAGGCAGTAAATATGAGGGTTAAGTCTGTAATTATTCTTCATTCTACCTACCTTCTACTTTCTACAATCTCTTCATTCAAGCCATCCCGTTCGGTATTAGTGGAACACTGCACGAAGGGAAGTCAGCCTACCATGTTTCGAAAATAATTCATTGTTATAGACGACATCCACACTACAACCAAACTCACTGAATAGTTGCGAGAGTAAAGGGAACGGTTTTATAACTTTTGTTAACTTAAGAAAGGCCTACGACTCGGCAGAGACTGGAGGTCATGGAGGCCCTAGATAGCCATGAGCTTGCAACTCAACGTAAGGATCCTTCGTGAGCTACTTAACAGTTTCACAACCATAATATCGATATTCTATGGTATTATTAATATGGACGTGAGGATAGAAGCTCGATAAGACGGTAGTAAAGTTTTTGACCACTTTCCTGGAGAACATCATGCGAAAATTGGAATGGGACAACATGGGAGTTATATTCGATGATTAGTAATTGCGCCACCATTGCTTCACTGGTGATATCGCTCTAATAACAAGTATTAGACCGACGAAACAAAGGTTGGCCGGCTTCGAGAACACTTATGGAAATGTTTGCCCTCGACGAAATCTTGCGAAAGCATTATTATACGCGAGAAACAGATTTGTTCCCGATATTCCTTTTACGCTCTAAGGAATGGGTATGTCCGATTGCTACAGCTTTGTGTATCTGGGGCAGGAATTCAACAAGATGAGCGAGTTATCTCCAAAGTTAATCTGAAGGAAGCGAGCGGCTTGTGGAACTCCCGAGAGCATCGTGGATATAGCGAAGAGGAAGAGAAACACTTTACTCCGTCTCCATATTTTCCACCATGCGATTCTTCATGCCCTGATATACACGTCGGAAATCTGGACGGTACATAAGTAGAAGAAAAAATTACTTAGTGTTGTCGAAGGTGCAGTCAGGAAGAGAATGCTAGAAGTACCCTGTATTCACGTATTCGTTTCGATAATGAATTGCTTCCCAGTACTGCAGTAGTATTCGAATTAAAGCTATACCCACCTCATAGAGCAAAGTGTTGGAAAAATAGATTTAGTAAGAGTATCCCTAACTACTAGTACAAGAGCTTATCTGTGTGAAAACAGTGGCAGTTTTGAAGTTCTGCTAACGGAAAATCAGTGGATAGATAATACGTACTTCAAATGTTGATTATTTTCATAAGGAATCGTAAGGTCCTAGTGTTATGGAATGCGGGAATTTTGGTTATTTAAAATAAATATGAGACCTTCATATACTCGCGAATTTACCATATAAGAATCACTTTGAGATGCTGAAACGCAGAGATATGTGGTGCGTATAAGAAGTTGGACACAAACTAAAGCCATTGTTCACCACGAAAGCAAGCGTTTTTAAGGGACAAGTTTTCTATGTGTCCAAATTGGATTATACTTTTTATATTCACGCAAAATGCTCAGAGGATGGATTCCAATTTTTACAACAATATTAATGTTTTGCTACGTGGGTGTGCTTGTTTGTGTGCATATAGGTATCTTACAGTAAACATCGACTAAATCACAGCAGGTAGGGATTGTTAAACTAGCTTTCAGCTACTAGGTCAAGTTTTACCACTTGAGAGGCGAATGGTACATCTAGATCCCACTGCAGAGGTAATTAAACTAACCATGGATGCCTTCCAACGGTTCGTTAGGAAAATGTGGTGTTCTACGTGTTCCTTATTCGAGGTCACTGTTCATCTTCGTAGAAGAGCATGCGGAAACTTTACTATCAACAATTTAACGTATTATTTACTGCCTATTCTTTTTTTTAAACGGCAGGGTATACATTGTGAACTATAACTTCAATGATGCTGAGATATTTGCAAAACTCCGGACCGCAGGTGTATGCGGTGTGGTACGAACACGCGCTGTTGTCCTTACCGGGTAGCAGCGCACTTCACCACCGCACTATCCAGGTCCTTCGTTTTGCCTGTCTCTCAGCTAGTAAAAAAGATTGATAGAACTAGCTGAGAGACAGGCAAAACGAAGGACCCGGATGGTGTGGTGGTGAAGTGCGCTGCTCCCCGGTAAGGACAACAGCGCGTGTTCATTCCCCACTGCATACACCTGCGGTCCGGAGTTTTGCAAATATCTCAGCATCATTGAAGTTTTACTATCAACTTTGGTTTGTCTAATTATTAACTATGTTACAGGGATTAGGTGATATAAGTGTGTTGTGGTGAAGGAATTCTTGTGATTTCATATTTCTTACTGTACTTTTTCCTTTGTTTATGGTACCACAAACTCCCACCTAGAAGATTTGTTTGATTGAATGAAATCCCTTTAAATGTCTTACACAAAAGTTTGCTTGCTGACAAAATGACGTAGCACTGTAATTGTCATGTCATGCATTAGTTGACCACCAATCAAACTTTAGCTGCTATATGTATTATATTGTTTAAATAGCTAACTTTAGGTTGGAGGAAAAGCCTTACCGTGTGTAGTGGATGTTCGGGACGAAGCATCAGTGCAAAGCGCTGTCGAAATGGCGGTGAAAACGTTCGGCGGAATCGACATACTCATTAACAATGCGTCAGCTATTAGTTTAACGAACACAGAAGACACGCAGATGAAGCGATACGACCTCATGCATTCTATAAACACTCGGGGAACTTTTCTTATGTAGAGGTGTTCATTAATTCCGAGAAAAAATCACATGTAACCGTGATGAATCTAGGTCCAAACAATGCTTGCCATATTTGAAGCAAAGCAAGAACGCACACATTCTGAACATTTCACCTCCACTGTTGATGGAGCCGAGGTGGTTTTCAAATCATGTGGCATATACAGTGGCAAAATACGGGATGTCAATGTGTGTGCTTGGAATGCACGAAGAGTTCCGTCCATATGGTATCGCTGTTAATGCGTTATGGCCCATAACAGGCGAGTTTTTTTTCTGTACTAGGCAGGTAAAGTTACTCCTATGTGCATGAAAAATTTTTCAGCACAATTAATTCTTGTTAGAACCTTTGCTTTCTTTATACTCCTTAGTTGTTTTTACATTATCAACTTAAAGCTTTAAACTGTAGCGATCTGGACAGCAGCTATGGACATGCTTAGTGGTGGTTCTGGTGCTTCAGGATCTAGAAAGGTATCCACGTTAACTGAAATTGTTTTCTGTTTAACTCAGTCGAATGTTATTAGAAATCTACGGAACTAGACAAGGGATTCCTCCTTCAAATTTGTTCTTAGTTTTCATTCTGATTTTTTTTTGAATTTCTTGTTTTTTGGTAGTACTGTAGATCTTCGTCCATTTACCTTTCTGGAAAGGGTTTTAATTTTGAATTTTTCAAATTTTTTTTTACTCATTTAATTCTCCAGTATTGCCGTTTGTCACCCTAAAATGACATTTAGATGTCCTTTTTCTCATAACTATTTTAAGTAGTAAATAATTGTTATTTGCAAAACTCTGGACCGCAGGTGTCTATGGTGGGGAACGAACGCGCTATTGTCCTTTCCGGTGAGTAGCACGTTGACCGCCACACCATTCCGTGCTGTTCGATTTTTCACCGACGAAATGGCATGTCATTTCTGGACGCTGTAACTGTTCTGTCTGAGCGCCGGAGTGCAATCATTCTGGTCTTGTAATTGGCGAAGATTCGGTGGGCTTTGTGAATGCTTTTCCCAGCCTCTGCAGCTTCGACCATTACTGCTGCTCTTCTCTTAGATCATCTTTTATCGCCTGTTTGCATTGTTTTGCATGTTCAGACGTTAGCTCGCGGTTGCTTGCAGCTCTTGCGACTCCACGCTGGCGTGTCAACTCAAGTGTTTCTGGAGACAAAGGTCTCTTGGTAACTTTCGTACTCTCAGCTTTCAAAGCGCTAACGTGAAGGTGTTGAATGAGCCGATCGTATTCTTCGTCGATGTTATTGACAACGATATCTTCCCAACAGCCGAATGAATTGATTAAGTCCCAGTTTGCGGTGTTCCCTAGAGTTCAGTTTTGGAATTTAGCGACTTTTTCTTCTTTCCGTGAGAAATAGAATCTTACACGAAGGAGATGATGGTCTGGTCCCGTATAGAATTTTGAGGCAACAGGGACATCGGTTAGGCAAAACCTTCTATTTTTGTTCATACTCACCGCAAACGATGAGCTGAAACGAGATTGTTAACATGTGTTTTGGTTTTGGTTTTTGTTGGCTAAAATTTCGAACTTTTTTCATTAATGAGCTATTGGAAGGATTGAAAATTTCAGAGAAGAGACCATGTCGACTTATGAGCTATGAACATGCTGAGAGTTCAAGTTTTTAAAAAATTGAATGCGGAAATAGAAGATTTTAAAATTTTCCCACGCAAATGTGGTACCCCTTAAGGCTACCAACGCGTGAGGGAAGACCACTGTGTTTCACTCGATTGGATCCCGCTTGTACGACTTCTTTCTTGCTCGAACTGCGACCCTCAGCGAAGAAAGATGGGGAAATTACGTTTTTTGGGGTTCATGGTCGGATTTTCATGATTTCAAAAGACAGCTTGTAGCTCGTAGATCTGGTTGTTTTTATTGCAACTAGTAAAGTTTGCTATAAGCTGAAATATGTTGGTTTAAAATCAGATGCAGCCAGTCGTATCGAATGAATCGTGTGGAGGTCACCACGTAGGTGTTAACTCTCCGGTGGGAACATATTATCACATAGCCTTATTCGGTGAACACTACAGGCTTTCATACCTTAAAAACACTCCCCGTTATTGTACTATTCATTTTTTTCTAAGGAGTTGAACCACCAGTGTGTTGTCCATGTAGAATTGTTTTATACATGAAACCCACTCATTAGGAAACTATTCAGACGATTCAAGGCATGGTGAAGAAGGCGAAGTCGTCGATAGGTTAGCCACTAAATGCCAAAAGACACGTCAAATACTTTGTCTAAGGTCATAAAAGACACCATGTAGGAGCTGGGGAACTTTTTTTTTATTGATGTTGAGGTTAACTGGAAGTCACTATTGCTAATCATCAAGGCAGCGCTTTTATCGGCTGAGATAAGTCTAATTTGCTGAGGGGCCAACATCGTTAATTTTGGGCACTTAGTATAACTAATGAGCATGTGTGTAGGGGGCGCTGCTAGCTACTCTGCCACAGTGATTTACATAATGATGACTTCGAAGAAGGGCATAGCTTATGTAATCAGGTGATCCAATTTTTTGCGCTATACTCTTGAATTACAGTGGCCAAAAAATTAAGCAATTATTCCAATAGAGAATTATTTCTGTACTGTTGTTCGTACTGCAGTTATTATGTCACCTACTAATAACAAGAAATGTGACTGTAAAGCTTAAGTTATAGAAGCTCTTAGAGCACAAGTTGTTGTAGTTATTGCTACTGCTGTTAGTCGGTGCCGCAGTTTTAGCCAGAAATCATGGCCGATGCTGCGTACGCAATGCTTTCTAAGAATAGTCGTGACTATACGGGAAACTTTGCAATTGACGAGGAAGTGCTTCGTGCTGAAGGTGTTACCGACTTCACGAAATATGCTATCGATCCTAGTGAGTTTGCTAATTGATTCTGTCTTTTTATTTTTAATAGATCTATCTCTTTTATATTAGAAGATATTACGCCGTTCTAGGTGCACCGTTAATCGCGGATTTTTTTATTCCAAACATTGAAAATTATCCGGAGACGTTTTTGCAGTCACCTGAAAGGCAAAAGAGTGTCGATAAACTGAAAAAGGTAATTTCTCATTAATTTCCTTTTTGATGAGATTTCAGCCAATTATGTCACAGACTATGTTTTTCTCGTAAGAAATTTTTGTGGCATCCCTGCGTGCTCAATCCCACTACGTATGGTATGTGTTAAACGTAACCAGTTCGCTTACGAATGATCAAGATGGTGTTCATCGTCATGGGAACTAATTGAGGAACTTTTTTTTCAGGTAGCTGTGGAAGAAGATATCACTAACGTTCTGGCTAATATGAGAAATTTGGTATCGAAAGAGTTGGTGGAAAAGTTGTCAGCCGTTTATGAATTCACTCTTACTGGTAATTTTTCGTTCTAGTGTTGTTGAAAATGTGTGTTCGTTCATTATGCAGATTTTTACAGGAGATCAGGAGAGAAAAATTCTGTTGGATCTAAAAAATGGTGATGGATCAATAACTGAGAAGGGTGATAATAATGCAGATGTGAAGTACGTCTTATGTCTTTTTGATGATTCGTTAGTTATTTAAATGGTTGTTTATGGCTTGTGAATGAACCGAGAAATTTTTTCAGTTAGAAAACGTTCGACTTTTTTTGGCCCAATAAGAGCTGCAGATTCTTAACCTGTGTTATATAGATAGTTTTGATGCGTTGTAGTTTATCAGATAATGAACTTGATGGATAGCCATGTTTTTGAACTGAGGAACTCTGCGGTGATATAGCAGTATTCTTCCGAGAAGGTTATATTTTAATATAATCTTTTACAAGGCTTGAAAAGGTATAATTTGCCGAAACATCACCCATACTACAATTGGCCACGTGTACTTCTAATACTTTTTCCTTGCTTAATGGATATGATGTTCTTACATTTATTCCGTTGGAAAAGTGTCACGTAGTCAGTGAAGAAGACGGTAGTTTTTTATTCAGATAACATGGCTCCTAACAACCTAAATGAAACACACTACAAGAGGTACTCATCGTGTCGAACCACCTATAACCTATAATGTGTTAACTATCGGAATACTAAGTAGTGAAACGTGGAGCCCTTCTTAAAACAGTTTTGCTTAGCGAAAAGAGAAGTACTGTGTCGATTGTTTTTTATTATGATGTCTGTTTAGTGCCTGAGGTCTACAGTTTGTGATCTTCCTTATAATCTTGGAACGAAGGGGGAGAACAACCATATGGTTATCAGCCAAGCGCAACACAACATAGTATTTTGAGGGCATGTAGAGAAACGTTAGTTGAATTAAAATAATAAATTCAATCTTGTACTTTCCAGATTTACTCTTGCCGCCACGGACTTTGCACCAATGTTTACGGGTAAATTAACTCCAACAATTGCATTTATGGCGAAAAAACTGAAGATAAAGGGCGATATGACGAAAGCGTTGAAGCTGGAGAGCGTTCTGAAGGAACTAACGAAGAGTAAACTGTAGAGATATTTTTTCAATTGCCGAGACGTTCATATGTTAATCATGATTCTGTGATTGAGTTAGGCCGAAGTATTTTATCAACATATGCTTTGTTATTTAAGTTTACTTTTACAATTGTATTTTTTGCACAAGTGATATGTCGAGTAAAAAATTTTATTATGTTCTATTTGTGAAATTACACGAATGTAAAAGTGTATAAAATTTTTATTTGGTAAATGCCTTGGCGCCTTTTCCTACTTCAGAGTCGCGTTGATCCAAGTCGATCCACCTCTTACAGTCGCTGCCCCGACATAGAACCTTGTAGTTGCACTGAGCCGAATTCAGTGGAGTGGAGCGCAGCACCATTCGAATGAAGTGGTTCTTTTGTACTGCTCTTTTAAACCTTTTAAACGGGACCATTGTTGATTGGTTTACTGTTCTTTGACAGTAATTTGTTTTTCTCCTAACCGTCCGTCCTGTAGCAGCTGATATTAGGTCAGCTTGCAAATAGCGAAATACGAAATAATATTTTTGCAAACTGATTTCCATTTATGTGGGCATAAATAATCAGTAATGCGTGAATAATCAGTAATATCTTGTAGTATTCACTAGTTCCCAAGATCGACTTTCTCTTAACCTCGGCATTGGAATATGAATGTGCCGTTTTCTTGTTCAGCAATCGCGAGGTTT